ACAAATGTGTAATTACATATAAAATGTATACAATAAAGTATATCTTAGTTTACCATAAATGGTTGTCAGTACATTCGCCAGTACACTTTTACCATATTTCAAAAACAATAGAAGAAATTATGAATTTAAAAAAAGGTCAGCTAACTGCTGCATATAATAATAATATAAACTACAAAACGTTTTCATTTATTTGCAATTAACCAGCAGTTAAGTAAATTCAGTAAAACAATTAAGCAAATTAAGTAAATTTGAAAACAAATAAATTCAGTTTGCACTCAAGCATATTATTTAAAAGTTTAAAAGCTTATTTTTTTCATAAAAGTATGCTAAAGTGTACCTTTTTTTCAGAAGAGAACACAGGAGAGAAAATTGCTGTGGTCAAATGGTTTAAGAAAATAACAGCCATTTTCAGATGCAGTGTGTATGTAGACAATGAGAGAAACCACACAACTTACAAACTAGGTAAAGAGACAGCAAAAAATTGGAACACAAAAAAAGAGATCCACTGTGAAAGGGTGGAAAGGAGTTTTGTGAAAGGAGATGGGAATGATTGTACAGATTTTGGAAGCATTGCTCACCCTCAGGAGGAAACACAGACCCCTAATCTTTCTCTTTTTAGGACAGGAAAAGTCACAGATATAATTGATATGAGATTTGGGGGGTATATTTCAGTGTAATTAGAGTCTTGATAATTGGGCTAATTAGATATAATTGTTGTGTGAGACTGAGTTTGATTAAAACAGGTTTCCCCAAAACGAGATAAGAGGGAAAATATTTAGCTGACAGGATGACATTGGTGCAACATAAATATGCAGAGTAATTAATGAACAAACACTTGCATGCAGTGGAAATGACTGCAAAGTTAAACACACACATGCAGATAAAAATATTCACTGTCCCGCTCACTGCGACAAGAATTATCTGCAGAGAAACTGCAGAACTATATCTCAAGGCAACATTCAAAGGAAATATTCGAAGGGAAAAAAAAGACAGAAACTTCGGTCACAGTATAAATAAGTCATGAACAATAGCTGCCTTGCTGTAGGCAGATCTCTTCTAAAGCAGCATCCCTACCAACATGAAACATCACAAGTGACCGATTTGATGATAAACATAGGTAGCAACTTTACACCACATGTATAGTGCTCCTCGCAAGAGGTTTGAAAAGTAATTCCAGTAGACTTTGATGTCTGCATGTTTCTAAGCTAATAGCTTGTAATAAGTATAAAAACAATGCAAAGAAAAAGAAAATCATGTTTAAAGAGACTGATCTTTATCGTACTGAATGTAAAACAAATATTTATATTCAACATTTCTCTCAACTTTGTCCACCATTTTTACATGATGCATTCTAGGATTGCTGTGTGTGTGTTGGAAAAATGTGACTATGCCTTGGATTTTAGCCAGACACCATATGCGCATATTTTCTTGGCTAGCATCCAACTAGCGTTTGTCATTTTATTTTCTCTTCTGTATCTGAAAAAATAAAGACGACAAACAAACTACCAGATCAAATAAGGTGGAAGGTCTTCAAACTCTTTTTGTCATACTTTCTCATTTTGAAATGAGTGCACACTTATCAATATTTACTCTTTGCTGCATTTTGTTTGTTCTTTGAAATCGCAGTGTATGGTTTAGGGTTATTACTCTGGCAAAGGTGTTTGATATGTAAATCTGGGAGAGGATCAAATGAGAGAAGGATAATAGAACTCAAAGAGAAAGAACAAGAGCAGCTCTGCCCATTCAGATAAACAGCTCTCTGAGCGATACCCAGCATCCCCTGCTCCCAGTTCACTGAATACCACAAGCCTTGAGACGTGTTTTTGTCTGAGCTGTGTTTTTGTCTGAGGCGCTTTTGACTTTTACACCATTTCCACATCATGCAAGCGTTATACTGTAGATCCCCCCCCCCCCAAAAAAAAAGTTTCCATTAAAAATAAACAACACTGTCTACACTGCAAGCTTATACAGAGCTGAAGAGCTTCTTTATTTTTTTATTTGAATAAAGTGTATTTATAAATGCCATATATGTGATATGACTGCTATGAATTTAATGAACTTGTCAAAATCAACTTGTGATGTTACTAAACTGGTTTACAAATTTAATCTTCTGCTTCTTCCCATTTACAGGTGTGTGTGTAAGCATCCACATTTTTCATTTATAGCTACATTAAAATGGAAGTTGGGGAACAATGTAAGAAGGAAAACAATCAATATTTCAAATCCTATATTGTAGCTTCTTAAAATAAAAGACCCTTTTTGGCTATCATAGCAAACTAGCCATTTTATTAGATTACATCATGAGGTGCATCCTGGGATCCTTTTTAAATAGTACTTAAGGAATGCCCTTTGTGGACACTTGACCTTCTTCTTTCTTTATGCACAATTTGTAACATTTCAAGAATCTAAATATACAAGCACCACTGCACAACAGACACTACACATGCATTACCCTCCAGGGCAAGTCTCTGCCAGTGTAGCAAATATATTAACCAACAAGCTACTCAAGTAATACTTTACATATATAATAAAACTAAGGTTTCATAATGTACAGTTTACTTAGTAATACAGCAGGTTCAGCCCTGTTTGTTTGAAGTTTGTTTAGTCGGCACACATTGTACTTTCAGAGGTCATACAAGCGGGCTGAGCACCAACTCATACAGATTTTCCATGCAAACAAATGGGACGGCAGTTATCAATAAACTCGTGGCTGTGAACTGTCAAAACCTCTGCCTGAGCTGCACGCATTTCACAGCAGAAAAAAAAAAACATCAAATGCAACATCAGAGTCTCTGCTGATTCTCTAGATGGCAGTAATATGCCTCACTCATTCACATATCAAGCCGTGCATGAAGACAGCGTAGTATCACGTGAGAGAAGGAGGTTATGTCCGATCTGTCACATTCAAGTAAATTGAGATAATTATTTAAATTCAGTTTTGACCAATCATGCAAAATGAAACTTCTTCAATCTGTTTCATGTTCAAACATTTATAGCATATCCTGGGAAGAAAAGATGGGCTTGAGCAACGTTCTGGTAGATTCTTCTTCATAATGACAGCAGTATTGGGAACAGTGATTCTTTGTTATGAAAACTGCACATAAATACCAGATACATTTAAAACAGGATGTTTTAAGTAAAGCAAATATCCTTTTTTAATACTTTACTGTAGAATGAAAGTCTGGGCAGTCTTGGACAAGGCCAAAATGGAGAAATTACAGAATATTTAACCTTATAAAAATGAACAAAGAAGCTGTTAGAGAGAATAAAAAGCTTAAAGCTATTAAAGCCCTCAATTATAATTGCACTATTTAAAGCATTTATTGTTAAAAACCAAAAGTCATAAAATCTAATGCACATTATTTGAATAAAATTAGCTCTTAATTTTCAACTCGGTTATTTTAAAATCATCTTGGGGGACAGAAAAGTTCACCTCACTGAATAATCACCCATGTACGCACACACACATACACACACACACACACACGTTACACTAATAATACACCCTAATGATGGTGTAACTGAGTTTGCATCCAGTGAAATGAATCAAAGAGTTTTCTCTAAAGTCAATATGATCGCTGCAGCATTGGTTGTGTGAGAACCATGAGAATATTCTAAAATGTGATTTGCATTTCAAAACAATATTAACAAACAAAGAAACAGTCAATTGAATTGTATTTCAGATGGCTTACATGAAAGACAGTGGGGCTAAACTCTGCCAGTCGATGTTTGGCTTTACGTTTTGAAGTCCTTTATCCTGCTTTGGGTTAGCAGTTGTGCTCCAGCCCTCTCTTCTCTGATGTGTGGCCTGAGTTTCATTTGATTTCCTCTCATACTTACAGCAGCACAGCTTCTGATCTTGTTTAATACTAGTCCAGCGGCAACAAATTACCAATTTTCAGAAATGAGCAGAGGTAGGCAGCTCTAAATCCTATAAAATGAGTCGCTCTTTCTTTCTTCTCAGAGAAATATACAGCGTTGGCAATAATTCGGGCAAAATAAAAATAAAAACACACACCTCAATTTTTTCCCTCTGTGGATTTAGGCGAGCAGCTTTCATCGCAGGCACGTGCAGTGAAATTTAGGTAAGTGTTTTGTGAAATGCAATTTGACGAGGCCGTTTATAAGATTTGTTTGGTGCTGCTGTTTGTGTCGGTGTGTTTTCACTCCTGTTTTCTCATTAATATCAAATGCTGTAAGCCACAATAAAACGCAGAAAACACTCATTCGTAGGCCTGCTTGTGCACTTTGCATCACTAGAGAAAAAGCAATTATCCACAGCGCAAGGTTTTATGCGTTGCCGATGTTAACGTTACCTTGATCCCTTCAATAAAAACGCACATTGAATCTGACAATAAAGCGACATTCATATTGCGGACAGTGACATTCATATTCAGCCTCAAATAAATCATGCAAGTTGATGTGTGTTAATATATGCACTGAGAAAAAGATGCAGTATTATAGGGTCACAACTCAACAATAACAATTTTCAAAAAATATTGGAAAATTAGGTGGTGTGATTTATATATAATCTTAGTATAAAAGATGATACATTCAAAAGATTAGGGTTGTGTGTGGGTGGGCGTGTGTGTGTGTTATATGAAGGCCTTTAATGTTTATCCACAAACTGCCACACAACAATATTCAGAATAGCATACTTTGCTCTATGCTGTAGTCAGTATACACAAATTATGCTTATGCACACAATTCGCCAATGGCCTAATACATTTCCCAAAACATGATACTTTTCAGTGTGACAAGATGGAAAACAACTATAATATACTTTTTTTTTTTTTTTAATGGTAACGTCATGCCAGTGAATTAAACACATAACGCAATCAGGTCATGTGACAACAAATATATTTCTGCTAATAATGTTTATCATGGCATAATGCCTGCTGTTCTGCATGTGCAGTATGCAGTAAGTATGCTTGTATTCATTCTGAACATAACCATATATACCCATAGACATGAAACTGACCTTGAGAAATGACACTTACCTCACAGCGAAGGTGAACTGGTCTAGCTGATCTTTAGGGAGAGGTTTGAGCGCCTCACTGTTTCTCTCGATTATCTTCTTCTGCCTGCCGCTCTGATCGGAGAGACACATGTGCATGTCGTTTGTAATCATAGCAGGAAACAGTTGCAGTGATTTATCTTGGGAATACAATGACAGTAGCACACTTCACCCTGACATCATCTCTCAAACACAAACACACACACACACACACACACACACACAAACCAGCACAGGAAACGAATGACATTCACATTACAGACAACATCTAATCAAAGTTGTCGGAAAGACAGAGATGGGATGAAATGAAAAGAAAAGAAAGGCAGTCACACAAAATTAGACAAAAACAAGAAATGATATGTTTAAAGCAACACACATGGCACACTCAAACTACTGAATTCAGCTCTATAAAATCATTATGAGTCAAGAATCTATATAAAAAAGCACCAGAAGTGTGTTTCCAACTCAAAGGATATTCCAAAAGAGGGGCATCATATTAATGCTGTCTCTAGATATAGTATTTTGCCCATTTCTTGCAAAATATGATGATTATAAACAGTACTTCATTCAATGCTGAAAAATATCAGCAAAAACAGTTCAGTACAATTAAACAGTCTATATTATCCAATACTTACGTGTTTTATTTTATTTGTGTATTTTTTGCTTATTAGACTATGGTATTGATAACTTAGCAACATGTTAACAACAAAATTATTCACTTGAGTAGAGTCTCCCATGGTAAAGTGTACACTTTTCCTAATTTTTCTCCTAATTCCCTTTTGACTTAAAATGTAGGTAGCTCTCTAGGTTGTTAAACAGAGCTTTTTGGGTGCTGAGTAGACTTTGGAAGACAGTTCATATCATTTATATGTCATTTATGAAGGGCTGCCCTACAGTCACAAGAATTACTGCATGCAATGAAATCAAAGCAATATATTCAAAGGATAAATGTGAAATATGAACTGGCAACAAAACAGAGTTTTTCTTCTGTAAAAAATTGATATACTGTAATACTGTATCCGACAACATATTCTGCCACATAAACTCTTTAGACTGGCCTATTGGAAACCTGAGGATGACAATATGAAAGCTGCTTGTAGCTTTTTTTTTTTTTAACCACACATAAAATCTTCCCACTATTTGACTAATATGAGCAAAATCGGTGTCAGGTGTTTCTGCGAGTCAGGGGAACTAGCCAATCAGAAACTATCTGCCTGTCAATCATTTTGCATATACTGTATGCTTTAAAGGGTGTTTTGAGGAACATGTGGTTGGGATTAGAAAAATAGCAGAAGTTAGCCAAACGGCTGAAATCACTTAAAGCACAGAAGAGTCATACGCAATAAGAAGGAAATTCAGTGATTTAAAATAATTGTTTTAATCTAGTCCATTCTTTTAACAGCATGAGTCAGCCATGGATATGTTGGACCCAGTTATGGATTAAAACACCAGTCATGGTGGAGACCAATCAGAAACGTTATCTGCAGAATTAGCCAGATATCCTCTCATAATGAACCACATTCAAGCCTTTTAAATCAACAATAAAATCAACACCACTCAATACATTTCAACCTAAAACTGAGTCAGCAGGTTATTAAACTCTCTACTGAAACTTCCAGCACCAGGGCCCAGAGCTGTAACCACCACAGACATTGAGGGGAACAATAATTATAAACGGCCAAACTGTTCCCCCAATAACTAGAAATATTTTAAAATCTTGCATTGCTCTGCTGCACTCCATTATGCAGTGCTATGTCCGTTGTTAGGATGACAAAAAGATTTAAAAGTTGGCTGGCTTGCCTGAGGGGTCTAACAATGTTCGTCAATGGCAAAATGACTGAGATGGCCAATCAAATCAAAGTAGGTGGAGTTTACCGTTCACATAATCAGAGCACAAATTCCAGCATCAGTTTTATCAATGAAGGACAGACAGGTAAGAGCAAAGCATTTAACAACTGATAATTGTTTTATGATAGACCAACATGACTGACAAAATGATAGACGATGATATCCAGCGATGCAAACTACTCAATTGTTTTCTCAAAAATGGTAATTTAGCTATCATCTATGTGATTCATGTCATTCCTAACTGAATGTGATGAGACAAGAAACGTTTTCCGTTTTCAACATATTAGGCATATGAATAAGAGTTAAAGTGTGCATGTTTTCAAATATTATTTGCAAATAGTTCAAAATCATTACTTCCCAACTAGAGTTAAACTTATCATTTTTATTTTAAAGGACTCTCCCAATAGTCAAGACATGGCCAAATACTGACCGCTCAGTTTAATGTTAGGGTGACATTTTGTTTTTGTTTTTTTTTATTAAAATGTACGGTGGTCTGCCAGAGGTCTAACATTGGCAGATGGCCAATCAAATTAAAAACAAGATGAACAACAAACATGAAATGTGAAGCTTCAGAATGAAGTTTTAAGAGGGGTAAGTAGATAAGCATTTGATGTTTAAAAGTTAAATGACAGACAATTAAATCCAGTGATGCAATGTATTCAGTCTGTTCTGTCCTATTTTGCTTTTTGAATTGAAAATAGGCTTTATCATTTACATTATTCATGTAATGTATTTCATGCCTTTACTCATATTCTATGTTTTGTCCTCTTTCAGGGTAGTTGCTTAACTTCACGGGACTGGACCAAATTTTTCTTGAAGAGCCCCTCCTTCAGACACACTAAGTACTAGTAACGCAGCAGTAGTTTGGCATTATAATAATTCTTCACAGTTCCTCTAAAATACTGTAGCTTTGTAGACACAGAAACAGTGGTAGATAGACCTAGCCAGACATCCCCTCATAATGAACCACATTCAAGCCTTTTAAACCACCAATAAAATCAACACCACCAAGAAAATTTGACTCAGGAACAGTGGTAGATAGAACAAAACAAGGCAAAAATGGGGGTCTAATTCTGACCCCGCATAGCTCAAGCATGCAGCAGTGTATTAGAGCAGTCATAATTGGAGTCCATTAGAGTTCAGAAGTCATTTTGAGCTGGGTGCTGATATTGTTTGTTAGTCTGGCATTCAGTCTGATGCACTACGCCCTTGGGTGGGCTCAGACGCGCTGCTGCAGCACAGATACTGCCTGCATCTACATATGAAAGATCACTGTCACCAATCCAGAAATGAAAAACACATTGGACCACATACAGCAAACTACAGAGAAGAACACAACAGAGAAGAACATTATAGCTAGAGAAAAAGAAGAAAAAGAAGAAGGAGGAGGGGGGGAAAAAACAGGATATATATGCCAGTATGTTGAATTTTATGGCTGGCTTCCAGATTTAGGCAGGTATGACATTTTTCATCACTAGACTACTGCTGAACAATAGTTGATAACAGGAGAAGCCAAATATAAATATACCATAAAATGTTAAATATGTTTCAGAAGAAGTATTTAAACAATATGTTCTTCAAATCGAATACTTTTTTTAGTTGTGTATCAGAGTTTTCACTTTAAGATCATTCCCTTCATTTTTTAATTGATTTGAAGAGTTCACTTGAAAGGATGATATTGTAATTATTATATACAGTATCATAGAATAGTTATTTTAAAGGGGAGAATATAAATATGGTAAAAGTATGCTGACGCATGGCCTAAAGACACAAAATATTAATACATTCATACTATTTTATGTCAAATAAATTTAAATACAATTTTAGACATTTATACAATTGACACAAACATCAACATGGTAGAATGACCCATTAGCTTTCCCTGAAAAGCATGACGTCTGCATTACAACTTATTTCAATAAACAGATTTAATTGTTGATAGTGATGTAATATGGATAATGAGGATAATTTCTAATACAATGTGCACAATTCCATTCCTGTGATTAATCTGCAGATGCATGTAAACTGCTGCGAGTTTGCATGTTCCTGGCATCCCATGACAACAGTAACAACAAAGACTAAAGTGGCAGGAGAGAACACACAATGCACAGTTGTGCAACATAAGACAGCAGCACCAGATCAGCACAGAGAAGTCATTTTGCAATTACCACTTCAAAGTGCGGCAGGTAACGTCGCAGCTTTGATTCATTTAGCTTAAGTCCTGTGGAGCGCAGGGAAAGGCGTGTTGAGAGCAGTTAGAGAGAGAGAGCAAAATGAGAGAACACAAATGATAGCTGGCACTGCTGATTTCACAGAATCTGAGCTGTTTTGGCTTGTCGAGCACATCAAAACTAGCTTTGAAGACTGAAAAATACCTGTTAGTGTGAAATGTATTTTGACAAATCTCAGATAATAAGGGGAGTAGGGAGGAAAAAAAGGGAGGAGCAGCAGGGGCGTCCTTTTTTTTTTTGTAAAGGGGGCATTAGTGGCGGTCCTGGCTCACTTGGTGTCTTGGGCTAAATAAGACATGACTAAAGAAATAAACATGTCACGTAAATGAAACAAATACTATAGTACACTTGCTAGTAAAGATTTTTTATTTTTTTTTTTTTCAAAAAAGTCATATGAGTTTCATGAGATTCCATGCACACAGAATGTTTTTGCACGCTATGCATACCATGCCAAAAATAGTATGATAGTACAGAAGAATGTGTAATAATTCAAACACTTTTTACCTACTTATTATTACAAAATAAGATGACCTGCTTTCTTTTTTTTTCTTTCTATTTTTATTTTTCCCCCCACTCTTTTAAGCTTGCAAGCTTTTAATCTTCCAAATGTTTGAATGGGCATGGTGCCTCTGAGGAGAAGTGAGAGAGAGGGCCCATGTTCAAGGTCAGAATGTTTCCTCATTCAAGTTACCTTGCTATGAATTTCGGCCTCGGTTTTCTCAGCGATGGGGCGGTTTGTCTGGTTGCTGGGCTCAGAGGCTGACACAGCTCCACTGGGGCTCTTACCTGCAATGACATTACAAATGAACCTTTGTTCTTGTAAGGCCGAAAATAACTTATGATCAGTGATTTATGGTTTAATTAATTAAATTAATATTGCATAATCTCTAACTTCACAGATGAAGCACAAAAACAGAAACTTTGGTATAGTTCACATTTAACGCAAGGTAAAACAAAATAAAATGAAATATAATATAATATAATAAAATAAAAGAAAGCAATTTGACAATTTCAGCATATTTTAAAATAAATTAAATAAGTGAAAATGAAATTATATAAATTATATATTATACCTATGAAGCACAACTAATGAGAACGGTAAATTCCTGTAGACTTTCAACAACAATGAAATGTACAGCTAAAGCAAAAGTGATGAAACTTTCTCTTCACATTTATTATGTTCTTTCTCACCCTCACACACATCATCAACATCTCTGAGCCCAACCTCTCCTTTTTTTTCATTGCTCTAATGCACACAATTAGACATGATGAAAAATCGGAAAAAAATTAAATTTAGTTGTAATACATTTTGCCATTCTTCCTTCCTTTGGAAAATTACTTTTGAAGTGTTTTCTCTCGCTCTCCGTCTGTAATTTAAATGGTAAGCTGCCAGATGTGTGTCTCATGCTTGAAGTGCAGGAGCTTTGCATTATTTAGCATATTAACATTCACAGAATTTAAAAAAGAGGGTTCCTGCATTGCCTGGAGCTTCCAATTAAGTAAACCTTAGCTTGATACATGTAAAAATTTTAACATGAGAAACTTTTTTCATTGCGTTTTTTCTCTTCAGTCACATTTATATAATAAATATGGAAACTTCCAAGATGATATAATTTTTCTCTTGCTGCGGGATTAAATATATCAGTAATAACTTTTAAATATAGGCAACGTATCAGGAAGGCTTTAGAAGACTCAAATAGGTTTTAATAGCAGGAGCATTCAGGGCTGGTATGTCCTCAGTGCTGTTTTTGAACTGATATTACATTTAATCTGAACACAGATGTAGGTTTTAATTACAAGTTATACTAGTAAACATTTGAGATGCCTACAGCTGAAAGCATTACATCTGCCCTATCTTAACATAAATATGGGTGGTTATTTCATTAAAATGAATGCATAATCACTTTCAATTGCATGGCTTACCTCTGATGCACTGTCTTTTCACTGTAGTGACAAGCCTTAAGAAATACCGTAGACAACGGAAACAAATTACAGACATTTTCTACTGCTGAAGCTTGAAAAAGTCAAAAAGTGTTGGAGGGGAAATTTGTCTTCTACAGAAGATATGTCAGTCTGTTTTCTCTTGGAAGAGACACAGTTAATGACCCACGAAACCATATGGAGTTATATGTAAAAAAGGTTTATTCAAAACCTTCACGTTATGAGACCGGCCCCAATGGCTCTCTGCCGTTCAATATTGGTGTGTTTGGTTCATAATGGTTTTGTAATCATTTCTTCACATGGTTGCTTCCAACAGTTTGTTCCAGTTTTGTACCAGGGGAGATAATAGCCTATTTTATTTTCAATGTTTAAACTTCCTGCACTATATTATTATTTTGTCCAACATGTTGCTCATTAAAAGAGTCCGGACGGTAGCGATGCATTAATTAGCTTCAACAATGGTGTTACATCTCCAAGGTAAAAGGTAACCAATGCGAAGACTGACAAGTTTAGCAAAAGTTTAGCACCATACAGCAATGCAGTTTTCAGGTTAAATATCACTTTAAAAAAAAATAAAAAACAATTCCCCCCCAACAATGATACTTTCGACATGCATCATCAGAATTAAAAAAGATACTGACAGTAATAAAGACATTAGCCTTACATAAACCGAAGACCCCTGTCTCTGCCGTGTGCAGTGCATAATTTTTTATCTAAGGTTTAGCCTGTTCCAATCTACGGCCTGCAGCGATGTGGAGCAAAAGCCTGCCCCCCACCTCTGTTCTGTGTCCAGAGACTGTAATTCCTGTCAGCAGAGCATTCTGCCTGCCTTTGCGCCACGATCATGCATGTTTTAATGGGCCAGCCAACACAACTTTGCAACTTTTCCTTTAATTATCCTTCCTCCAGCCTGATGCTCAGATGGTGTCGGGTCTGAATTAGTGCAGCGTTGACAGCTGTAGGCTATGTCCATGAACTTGGAGTGCTGCAGCCACAACCCACGTTCTCCCAGGGTGAACAAGAGAGGCTTGTTATCCTCTGCTTACCATGAACGCACAGAGAGTAGGAACCGGGCCTGAAGGGTTGGGTGACCGACGGGGACCTGTGCGCTCACCTAGGTTTCTAATTGCCCTGGTGTCGGTTCCAGAGTTGCAGAAAATCAAAGGTCAGTGAATTATTGATTACCCATGAGCATAATCCATGACTCATAATTACCCGATGTAATAGGACTAATCAAAACAAAAGGAAATAAAGTAGAGAACAATTTTTTTTAAACATTTTGAAAAATAAAATTTTTAATACATAAGGTTATAAAAAATCACTGCTCTAACAAGGAGCAACTTTTGGTCGATTTTATATTTTTTGAGCAAAAGTGTGTGTGTGTGTGTGTGTGTGTATATATATATATATATATATATATACACACATATATACCAAATGATACATAATTTGCATTTTATATCACATGACATTATATTATACTTTAATCATTATAGAGACTTACAGAGGCATTATTTTACAGTCATTCCCAGGTTCCATGACTGTGCGAATCGTGAGCTTTTTCAAATATTTGAAACTTAGCAAGTATCTGCGTATTTACAATGATATCATGTTTAAAAATCTGCATTATGCAAGGCTTGTCACTTCAGAACAGTTTGTTTTTCTTCACATAAGCTAAGCAGCCTTTGGGAATGTCTGTCCGACTCCATCACCCTCACCACATGAGGCTACGTTTTCTCATCAACTAAAAACCGAGTTTGATGTAAGCAAGGTTAATTCATCCATTTAAAGATGGGCAGTAGTAAATTAATTGGGGTAAAAATGCAGTGTGATTTAGTGAGTATGATCCAGTATTAGGGTTATCTGCAGTGACCGGGACTGGCCCCTCAGGGACAATGATATAAAAGAGCACGGCTGTGTTCCAGAAACACTCTAAGAGCAAATCTTGGAAATTGTCATTGCGCTAAAGGGCCGAGTGTACTACGATGCATTTATTTAAGGGGCAGGATGCAATCAAACACAGCTTCCAAAAGCCCCACTGCATGCAGTTACAGACCCACTAAGGGTGATCAAAGCAGAAAGGTCTAATTTAATTAGTCATTTGAATTCAAACAGACCTAGTGTAACTGGATCGTTCACTTAATGTGAAAGGTCAGTTAACTCATAACGCCTGCAGCTACGTCATATGTTGCAATGAACATAGAAATGAGGGAAAATAGTATTAACCGTCAGTGCTCCTATTTGACATGTCTGAGCATTACAATAATACCCAAGAATGACAAGGAATGTACCTGTATTCTCAGCTGATTTTTGAAAAGAAAAAGACTTGAATGAACTGAGAGACAGCTATATAGTGTGTTATTATTACTATTATTATTATTATTATAAATGTCTCAATACACCAAAAAAAACAAAAAACTAAAGTCAAGCTAAAACAAATAATAATTTTAAACATAACTATCAAACAATGTTATATAATTAAATTATACAGATCAGTATTCACACACACACACACATCTCAAAAAAGGTGCCAGATACATCTACCATAGTTAGCAGAAAAGACGTGATAAAAAACGTTAGTCCGTGAAGCCAAAGTTGGATGTTCTCTATTTGCAGTTTTTACTCACTGAATTAGATTTTCATTTCAGAGTAATGTGAGGTTGTCAGTCCAATCCCGCTCTCTCGCTTGATGGGAATCCTCCATCTGAATATCATAAGAGTGTGTAGCAGTAATGCAACCTGAACTGATCCTTATGCTAACGTCATCTCTGCTCAGCGGTTTGATGCTGTGATGTCCAGTGAAGAACACCTTTTGATCACTTATTCGAGTCAGATTGAGTTAGAGGAAGTGACAAGCTGTGAAATGTAAAAGACCAATTTCTTCCACATGTTGCGGCGCTCTGAGAACAGCGCCGAGCTGTCAGCTAGCATCACGCTTAAAATGGGACAGGTTGCTACCCAGCAGACCTGTCACAACTCATTTGTAATTAAAAAGCCTATGTGATGTTTAAAGCTGAGCACCCCAGAAACTTTTTTTCTGGTTCTGCTCTGTTAAATAAAGATGAGTACTGCCAAAAAAAAAAAAAAAAAAAGAACAATGGTCTTTGCGCAAGATCAATACCAAATGAGACTGCATTGGCGTCAAGATGTTCTGTGACCCATGTGAGGACAAAACGCTCGGAGACAGGAAGGTGTGCCTGGGAGACGCACACTTATTGAAGTAAAAACTGCTCTACACATGGACGTGAGTGAAAGGAAACTGCTTATTTGCCTCTTTCCTGTCCAAACTAATCTGTATGCAATGGGAGTGCTGGATATTTAAGAGCATAAATTGCACAACTGCTTATAAAAACTAGACTTTTTTTTCTTTTTCTTAAGAAAATAAGAAATAGTGCTTCCCTGTAAAAAACTTGCCAGTGTAATTCTTGGGTGTGGGAGGTTGCCAGAGCATTGTGGTTTCTAAGGTGTCCTGTGTGGTTTTTTAGCATAATTATGTGTGAATAGGGTGTTGTAGGTAGCAGGTAAACTGATATAGTTGGGTAAACTGGTACATGAGAACACAAAAAGTAACAAATCAAATAATTTAAATGCACTGTAATCACTTTAGATAAAATAATCTGTCAAATGTATAAATGTAAATGTTTGCAGGGCACTGCTTTGCAGTTGCTAATGAGTTCTGGTTTGTTGCTAGTGTGTTCTGATCATTTTTTTTTACTTTTTGCTATGCAGTTTCCAAAGTGTTGTAGGTGGTTTCCAGGACGTTCCTAAATTCCGTACTAACTCAGTATTCTGAGTGGTTTTCAGTGGCTTAATTTGCGGTTGTTAATTTGTTCCGAGTGGTTTTTAAAGGGATAGTTCACCCAAAAATGAAAATTATGTCATTATTTAATCACCCTCATGTCGTTCCAAACCCGTAAGACCTCCGTTCATCTTCGGAACACAAATTAAGATATTTTTGAAGAAATCTGAGAGCTCTCTGACCCTCCCATAGACAGCAAGGGTCCTTACACACTTTTTGAATGCAAAAAAAAAAAAAAATAACGACTTTATTCAACAATTCGTCTCCTCCGCATCACTCTAGCGCCATTTTGGAGAGTATCCACTGAACGTAAATTGCATATGCTGTTTTGTGTCAGCTGTGCCACGCGGTTATGCCATTTACGCTTTGATTTGAATGAAAACAACGTATACGCGTGGCGCAGCTGACACGCAATTTACGTTCAGTGGATACTCTCCAAAATGGCGCTAGGGTGGAGGAGTCGAATTGTTGAATAAAGTTGTTTTGTTTTTTTTGCTTTTGCGCACAAAAAGTATTCTCGTAGCTTTGTAAAATTACGGTTGAACCCCTGATGTCACATGGATTATTTTACCGATCTCCTTGCTATGTTTCTGGGCCTTGATCGTGTAAGGACCCTTGCTGTCTATGGGAAGGTCAGAGAGCTCTCAGATTCCATCAAAAATATCTTAATTTGTGGTCCGAAGATGAACGAAGGTCTTACAGGTTTGAAACGACATGAGGGTGAGTAATTAATGACAGAATTTTCATTTTTGGGTGAACTATCCCTTTAAGCAGCATAACAGTTTTCATCCAAATCTGCATCATGGGAACGCATCACTTTAGCACTAGATTTAGCAACTTTCAGACCCTTTTAGCGGCTTTTTTCCATAGAATATTCATACTGACTGTAAAGAGAGGGGCGGGGCCGAGAGCCGTGGGAACGGAGCGAGGCCGGTGGAGTAAATGCTAATGCTAATGCGAGACACCTGCGCCACTCACCGGTCTAGCACCGCAGCCGACTTGTCAATAAATGAGTACAAAACAGTGTTTCCTAGCACCTGTCGCTTACTGATTGTTTGGAATTATAAATATGAGCGTAGTTCGTCTGTTAATATCCCATGCCCTTTTTTGTTTGTTGTTGTTTTTTTTTTTTGTTACAATACCGTGATATAAATTTGTGGTCATACCGCCCAGCACTAGTTCCGAAGATGAACTGAGGTCTTACGGGTTTGGAACGACATGAGGGTGAGTAATTAATGACAGAATTTTCATTTTTGGGTGAACTATCCCTTTAAGTGATCCTGTGTAACTGCAAAGGTGTTCTGGGTGGTTGCTAGGCCATTGAAGAGAGTTAATCTTAAAAAGTGCCCACCTTCAAGTCTTGATGACTCTAGATTTTTAAATGTGATTCAGATACCAACTTTAGTGTAATGGGATATATTTGTGTGTCTAAATGCTTATAAAAGTAATTGCATGGCTCTCCTCAAGTCACACAATTTGAGGTATCATTCATGGCTGAAAAAGTTTAATACTTCAAGTTAGTTGTTTGAAAATTTGGGAGCTTATGACCAAAGTATTGAAACACCATCAAAAGACTGAGGCATATGCATGCTGTCTAAATCATTTATAAACAAAATAAGCCAACAAATATGGCATCATTTAAAGACATTAAGCAGGCAACAACACAAGCAAAAGGGCCCAAGTGACGTAACGTGAAAACAATGCCTGACTTGCTTCATTTGTTTCAATGTGACTATGAAGACTTTCAATACAGTGTTCAGCACATAAACATATGCCACGTGTTTTGAAAGCTTTGATCTCTATGTGTACCGTTCTAAACTCGTATGCTACTTCCTAAACAACTGGCAAACAATGAACGCACTAGAAAAAAAAAAATCAATAAGCTAATGGAGGCACACACAAGCGAATGAGCCCTATTAGTGATCTCGCTATCACCCCATCCCGCTTAACGTTGACTGCTCACGGTTCGACACAACAATGTGAGCCGGCTTCTGGCTGAGAGTTTTGATTAGAGGAAATATGCGCCATTTGATAACACAGCAATGGATGATGATGATGATGATGATGATGGTGATGATAGCATTCAGTGAGAAATGTCAATCATGTGAAAAGCTGAACGTCTTATGTTAGTGAGCTTCATTTACAGTGCAAACAATTTGGCCTAAATGGCACCTATTGTGCTGCACAAATTGGACGTACTTTAGTCTGAATGAAGAAGGTTCATTTTCTCTGCATGAATGCCCCACCAGATTCTAACTGGCAGCTGCCATTCTGCCTCTGTGTGGGAGTTTGTGGCGGGCTGTGACATTCTCTGGCATTTCTTCCTTTCGAGGGTGGGGTGTAGAAGTCCTACCTGGCAGAGAAGCAGAGGAGCGGATGGAGGTGTCCTGATGGGGATGAAGCCCCTGGCTGGAGCTCAGCTGGGGGTGAGAAGGGATCTGCAGGGTGAAGCTGCGCTCTGGCACCCCGGTGCTGCCCCGTGGGAGTCTCTTCACCTGCACAGAGGGATGTCTACTGATTGACAAAGACTGATTATGAAAGGCATTATAAGACAGTTGGCAAATAGATGCTGTACAGCAGTGGCTCTCGACTGGTTTTGCTTCAGGTCCCAGATAATTCAGGAACCCAGATTTAATGTAGTTTGATTGGACACAGCCTTTGACATAAAAAAAAAAAAGACATGGGAAGTGTTTCTCCTCCATTTTAAATACAGATAAGTCAATTTCCTTTGCAATCACTCCTTTGCACAAA